TCAATTTAATAGCTTTTGTTTGAAGGGATTTGTTTTAACTGCGCGCTCAGACGGCTGTCTGGCATGAGGGAAAGTTTAAGGGAATGAAAGTGACTGTGAACCTGCGCAGATTTAAAGCCGCTGATCATTTCTGTGACAAGAGTTTCATTTGCCTTCATGCGCTCTTAAATCGCAGGATCTATCATCTTATAGAAAACCAGAACATCTTACTTGCTCTCCCGCTCTCTCTCTCTCCCTCTCTTTTTAAATTCTCTCCCCCCACCATTCAAGATTGGCTCGGTTAGAAATGTGTTTCTTGGATTTGGAATGCAAATGCTTTGTTCACATGGAGGGGGGAATCAGCGAGGAGCCTGAAAGCGACGAGTTTTTGATTAATGAGCTTTGAAATGGCTCTCCAGGAGCAATAAAGGATGAACTGCTCTTTCTACCCCCTCTTTCTCTTTCTCAGACACACACACACACACACACACACACACACACACACACACACACACACACACACACACACACACTCGCACATCGCCGCGTCTCTCCCAATGTCAAAGCACCACCGTGTATTTTATTTATCTTTCTCTTTCTCTTTTTTTTATATTTTATTGGCACCTATCTGCTTTATTAGTATTTTTGAAATCAATTAAACCGGCAGCGATTACTCTCCGCTCTTTACTGGAAGAGCTTATTTGGTCCTTTCTATTGCACGAGGGAGGAAGGCTAATCATGTGGCCGAGTCTTAAAATATGATAAGTGACATGTGGAGGATGCAATAAGCCCATAGACTCACTTCACTCCATACCAATAAAACATCAATATTCGCGAGAGCCTTTTATTCCGCTAAAATGCACTTTGCATTGGGAGCATAGAGTCGTCTGATGAGTTTTAGATATCCTGGTGTCTAATTATTGATCGTCTCTGTCTGTTTGGACCGAAGGCTGTGGGTCAATAAACCTCCTTCGCGCTGCTACAGTGGCAGCAACGAGACACTGCGGCGTTTTGCACAGCGACCAACAAATCTCAACGAGCAAATACAAGTTTAAGCACTTTATTTACAAAATGTTAAACACAATAAAATATAACATTTCAATATCATTGGGGTTTCATAAATTTATGGGTGTCCAACTGAATGGAATAACAATGGAAGACAAAGAATCATAACATCAAAAAAACGAAACGCAAAGGACTACACAAAATGACATGCTGGTGTGCGTAATATTTGATTTTTCGATAGTCTACGTTTCGCTTAAGGTTTTGACACGAGATTAGCCGTGGACATGTTCACTCGCTGTAAAATGCCCCCATTTGTCTCAGATTTATACAATTAGAAATGCTCCTTCCGCCATCAATACTTGGTAGCATTTCTGAAAAAATACACAAACCCTGTTTTGCCCAACAAGTGCACCGCTCTGTCCGATCTGGCAACGGAAATCCACACTTATAAATACTCGCATAATAAACGATAAATAATGTGCAATACAAAAGCAATTAAATAATTAAATAGGCTGTATGCTATAGTGCCGGGGATTATGCAAAAATTAATGACGCAATAAATAAATAGGGTGAGGAAAAACGAGATCCAAGCAGACATTTTTTTTTCTTTTTTTCCCCCTAAAAATCTTTCCATCTAAGGATGAGCTTCTACTTTTTTGTGATCTACAAGACTTACCTTCAAGTAACGGCATGAAATATTCAGTCAAACATTGCGCATTGCACTTGAGAATAAACCGAAAGGGAAAGAAAACAACAAAATAACTATTAACAATCAGGCTAGAGCTTCTCCAAATTTTAAGAGAAATGGACAAAGCTGCATCATTTAGAAAATAATTACACAATAGCATTAATAATAATATCAATAATACTGTCATAGTACACACGGCTCACACGGAGCATAGTTAATAGTCTAGTGAGGTAATAAAAAAGAGCGCAACGTAATTTGGCACGCACCCGCACACACTCACACATACACACGCACACGCACAAGAAACGTCATAATATTACAAATGCGTCAGCTTAGGCGCTTCCTGAATCCTTCCCTGAGAAACTTGGTGAGAGGTGAGGTCTGTGTACGTGGGGTGGGGGTCACACGGTCCGTGGTGGTGGTTTCCTGGGATTTGAGCGGCACAGCTGTAGTCCACGCTGGTGGATGATGGGTGGGGGAGATGGCCGAGGTTGAACATGGGGCCCGAGGCTGGCATGGAATCAACAAAGTTCCCACCCACGTACACGGGGCTGCCTTGCAAATTGGCGTTGGCGAAGCCTCCGTTGCTCTGCATGCTGTGGTGTTCGTACTCGGAGCCCGGGTACCGCTTCTGCTGAGGGATGCAGCCGCCCAGCGGCGCCGTGTACGCGGCCAGGCCGTACATGTTCTGCTGGGGCTTGGCGAAGGGCGGCGGCGAGGGCGCGTCGTAGCTCAGGCTGTTCACGTTTTGGAGCTGGCCCGCGTATCCGGTGTGATTGGGCCCGCTCAGCGGCGGGCTTCTGTCCGGGGAGTGTCCCATGGGGGAGTGCGCCAGCCCCTTTGACTTCTGGTCCTTTTTATATTTCATCCTCCTGTTCTGAAACCAAATCTTTATCTGACGCTCGGTGAGGTTCAACAGATTGGCCATCTCCACCCTCCGTGGGCGACAAAGGTATCGGTTAAAGTGAAACTCCTTCTCCAGCTCCACAAGCTGCGCGCTGGTGTAAGCAGTTCTGACCCGCTTGGAGGCCGGTCCGGGCGGGCTTTTCTCATCACTCACCTCCCCACCTGAGGAGACAAATCACAGCATCTTAGCTTTTTTTTGTCGTGCAACAGGAAAAGCAGTTCATCTGAAGTCTAATCGTGTTAAGGCCCAGACACAAACAGCGCCGGCTCAAGGTTGAACAAGGCCAGGGGCGTTGCCACACAAGGAGGCATACAGGGGCACAGAATCTAAATATTAACTCCAGACTCATGTCTGCAACTCAGCAGACTGGAATGAAAATATTTGTTATTAATGTTATTTTAAGTGTGTCATTCATGTTATTCAATAATATTTACTGCATGTTTTTCTAAGTATTATGATATTTTTAAGCAATATTGTACATTACTCTTTACTTAATTATTGCTGTTCTTTAAAGTGACATAAATAAAGCTAGCTTAGCTAACCTGCCTTTCAAATAGATTGAGGGGAACAGCACTTCTGAACTTTAGTCAATTTTTCTACTGAATTTATGACCTAAACCAACATTATTTGTTGTTTGTGTCGTTTGTATTTTTTATAGAAAAACAAACTCCCTTTTAGATGTGAAATAGACATCATGGCTTGTGGCTTCCAAATTGTGGAGAAATATCTGCAGAATTTCTTAAACGCTCTGAACATTGATAGTAAAAATGCAAACAAAGCTGTCTTCACAATTCAGTCTTGTTTGCACAAACAGTACTGTGCATAATTCATTGGTCTTCCCTTATTCCTTAATATTTTTCTTCAAGGTATTTGGACTTTAATGGTTTGTAAATTAACTTTTTTACACTTTGTTGTCTTTTTTACACTTTGTTGTCTTTTTTACACTTTGATGCAATTTGATTAAAAAAAAATTGTGGTGAAAATAACATATTTCCCAGCTCATATATAAACCAGAAAGTGGGATTCCAGTTGCCAGGTGAATGAGGGTCAAAGCAGGATTTAATTTGGGGGCAACTTTCCAGTTACACCCTCCAGCCAAAACAGCACCTCTGGTCTCTAACCTGAGTTAGTATTTTTTTTTGGATTCAATAGAACTTGTCTTATAGTTTACCAAATATTAACTAAACTGGCCATAATGCAGAATGCTATGCTTACAAGTAAATCAGTAACTTTAAATTAGTTAGTAAATTAACAGCATTTCAAATAAAATACTTCTTATTAACATATTTTATTGATTCCAGTGTTTTATATTCCATGAAGCTTGCCTGAGTTCAGAACATAAGAGAAATAATATGATCAGACATTGGCATTCATTGTACATCATGTTCCTAATTTATTTAATATTTGGTCTGCTAGAATACATTTTTCAGGTTTTTACTCAGCTGAGTTTAGTTTATACTATAAATATTAGACCAAAGTGGAAAATGCTTAGACGTGCAGAGTCATTTCCACAATGACTGCTAACACGACTTTCAGTTTTGGAAACTTTTCCTGGATATGTGTCATCAGCTTGCTCTCTTGGGACCAATAAGAGTAAAGTTTGCCCATACCTTAGGCCGGCCCTGCATGCTATCCACACACTCATATACTCATACGCACCATCAGGATCTCTACCTGCAGCAGCGCAGTTGGTGTTGCTCTTCTGCTTCGAGTTCTGCCTGGTCTCTTTCATCCAGGGGAAGATCTGCTTGGTGAGGGCCGGGGTGGCCGGGCCCGACGCGCTGTTGTTTGGAGACTTCTTCTTCTGGGATGTGGAGCTGTTGGAGCTCGGGGAGGCAGCAGACAGTGGGGGTACCTGCTGCTCAGAAATACTGTTCGCTTGGCTGCTGCCACTGCTGCTGCTGCTGCTGTTGTTGTTGCTCTGACTGCTGCTTTGCCGCATGCAGTCCCCGTTCAGGTCACTGTCTTTAAGGGCTGGAGGTGGCCTGACCGTAGAGGTTTGAATAGGACACACAGTGCCTTGGTAATCAGTGTCAATGTTAGGAGCAGGATAGGACTGGTGAGCAGGACCATAGCTGTAGGAGTCTGGTTTGGGGTAGGTGTAGCCTCCAAACAGTCCAGAGTTGTCATAGTAGGTTGCCTTCTGCATTTTGTGGATTCAAAGCCACAAAATGGGTGTTGATTATTCACGTGATTGGTGTTTCCCACAGTTGCTCCAGTCTGTGAGCTGCAGGCAGAAACACATCACTCTTTACAGCTGCACCATCTTTAATGTTGAAAACAAATAATCAAAAATCAGGATTGCACAAAGAGAATGGCCGTGGATGCTCCTCAGAACCTTCAAGTCAGTTACCAGCTTCAAAGTCTGGCCGTTTGCCTGTTTCATTTTTCTCTCCACAAAGCAGTTAAAGTTTAACTTTTTACTAAAAGGGACTCTCTGGGAGGCTTTAGTAGTCGCTCACAAATAAGCTGAATCAGCATTTGTCACACACATACACACAATGCCCTTTTCACTAATCACAGGCCTCACAAAGCCCGTCGCGCACTAATTGTTGTTCCGTGCACACGCATTCAAGGGTCCATTTTTACGCAGGCGAGAGGCTGATATTAAAAGAATTATGAAGGGCGGGGAGGGAAGAATGGGCTGTACGTGAGCGTGCACGAGCTGAACGTGCGTGCACACGAGCGAGAGAAAGGGAGGGAGCGAGTGATAGAGTTAGGGTGCGTTGGTGGCACATATATTTTTCATTATGGCTTGCGCATGTCACGTTTTTATGTTCCCTATGTTATTCATAGTTTATTTATTTATTTATTTATTTATTTATTTATTTATTTATTTATTTATTTTCTACTTTTCTATTTTACTTTGCTTTCACAAATTATTCTTTCCCAATTTTTTATCTATTTCAGTGCAACAAACTAAATAAATAAATAAATGAGAACCAAAGTAGAAACATCAGAAAGACTCCTTTTTACTGTACATTGATGTCTTCGGGGGGTCTGGAGATTTCGCCGCGCATTACAATTGCACCTGTCACTGTGGACCGCGGCGAAATTTATGGCCGCAAATGTCCTGGCTGTAAAACGGCCTTAGAGAGGAATGAAAAAGCAAAACACTCCCAGTGAGTCCGAAGCCCCTCAGAAGTGTGAAACTAAGCGTAGGAGGAAGTCTGAGGGAAAGCATTCCACAGCTAGCAAGGTCTCCACCGTTTGCAAACGATGCTGCGTCCAGTCCGTCTCTGCAGTGCGAGCCAGCAGCTCTGGCTGGAAAACGGAGCCTGTTTTTAACCTCAGTGTTATTTACAGGAGCATCTTTTGGATAGAATTGCGATTCTAAAATTCTACTTTTTTCCTGCCCAATTTACGCATTTTCTTTTTTTTATTTTACAAGTAAAGTTTGAAAAAAAAAAAGATGGACTCTTCCCTCATGCAAGAGATACAGGAGGGGAAAAAAATTCCCTATCAACTGGATATAATTCTTGTTTTTGTTCGCGAACAAATTGAAACGTGCAGAAACTTGGATTCTGCGTAAAGAATTACGCGCAGATGCAAAGCCGAGGCCATCCTTCATGTCTGCCTCTGATTCCAGCCTCCTGTACTTGGAGCGTAAATGTGCAGCGTAGTAACGAATCACCTTGTTAGCACTTGGCTGAGTTATGCATCTCCTTTATTAATTGAAGAAATGTTACTCACCGAAATCTACGCAGATCTCTTTTATGTCGCTCACACATTCATCACCGCCTCCATCGCGACCTAGAACACAAATAAGGATAAAAAATACATATATCTCATTGGGTGACTTGCTTCTTTGTTTTCTTCTTTATCTTATTTTATTTTGCATAAAAATATAATATGCATTTTATGTTAGCTTAGACATTAAATATTTATGCTTTTTATATCAATATGAGCCGAAATACAAATTTCAGTTAATTTAAAGCTTTAACATAGAGTAACAGAATAATCTAAACCCCATAAAAAAAACCATTCAACATTTTTTTTCTTTTCTTTTTTTCGTTCTTGTTTGAAGAATGAAAAGTCTTACATGTGCACTTTCGCACAAAGCGACAGGCCAAATATCCAGCAGCCATAAGCGTTTTAGGTGACCTTTGGGTCATTCTGTATTAAGCCAAAGTTTAATGAACAACGAGGATTTTTGCCTTCAAGTAGCTAAAAGTCTCCACCAAATTCAGAACAGCTTCTGGGCGCCGAGAGAGCCAGGAGGACATCAACGGATGGAAAATAAACCTCGAGATTTTGCACTTATTTCCTTTCAATCGCCAGGAGGATCCATGCGTAAAACACGATGGGATTTAAATATTTATTTCTTCCCTTTTTTTAATTCTGCTCATTATTTTTTATTTGATTTTATTTTATTTTGTGAAATACTTTAGGAGACTCAGTCGACAATACGCGCCCTCCAGTTGCTGTTGAGCACCCCGAGTTACTAGTAGCAGACAAGCCTCCCTTTTCACACGAACTGTGTTTTTCGCCTACGCGTTGTCACGGTAAGTTTGCTCCACACAATGCGTCGGGACTCGGAGTGGAGTGTTATTATCTCACGCAGTCGATCAGAGCTTCCGAAATTCCCTCAATATCTCAGTTTAAGCGTCCTGTGCGATTTAATAAAAAAAAAAAAAACATATTTATATAAATATATATAAAAGCCGAGGATAATCAGCCTTTGTTCCAAAATCATTTTTGCAATATTTGCAAGAGACACATGAAACATTTATTGTTTACTGCAGAATGGCCATAATTTAGAAATGTGTCTGATATTACGGCGGTGAAATCATGCGCTCTGGAATTAAATTAAAGAACACGTATGAGTTGAAGTTTAGTCTCAACGCCTGTCGAGTTGTTTAACAGCAGACAAAATCTGGATAAACGTGGGAGTAAACAGTCAGTTGTTGAACTATTAACTTCAGAAATATCTTTAATCTGTTGTTGTTGGTCGAAATCCTCGAAACGCACCCGGTATGAATCCGCGCGAAACATACAACGTTGTAGTCTGACAAAGCCACATACAGCTGAAACCACATAAATCACACCAAACGCCAGTGTGACGATAAGACAACAAATTAATGTGATTTACGATCCAAGAGTCAAAAAAGAAAAGTTCCTCTCCTACTCCTTCTTCTTCTTCTTCCTCCTCCTCTAACCAGGCTTTCATAATGGGCTGAAAAGCGCAGAACTCAATCTGTCGATACAATTTGAATGGAAAAAATACCTTGTATATAAACGGTTATAGGAAGAGATGGATGCTCCATATCCGCATATTTAACAAGCCTCACCTCCTTGGACGGAATGCATCATAATATGAATAATCCTTTGCATTGCGTTAACCCGCGGTTAAAGGTTGCTTTCTCGCCATGCAATTGCTTACCTGCGAATCAATTCATCATAAAGCGGCTGCCTCTCAGCTCTGACTTCCTCTCCGTACAGCTTCGAGAATAAATCCTTCACTCCTCTTTTTTTTCCTCCCTGTCTGCAGACGATGCTGTCCTAAACCTGATCTTGCTGTTTTTCAGACATTTCCATGCACCGGTTGGAGACAGTATTCCCGAAAGAATGGAAGGACTCGCGTTCAGCTACCAATAAAAAAAGCGAACAAGGTATCCTTATTCCAAGGAAGAGGGGGAAAAGAGAAAAAAAAATCCACTGGCAATCAATCAACCAGTGAGATATCGAGGATAGGCCTGTGTAGATTGGGGATTTTTTGGGGGGCTTGTTTCTGAAGCTTTTATGATGACAAATAAAATGGCACTGCCTTTTAGATACAAGCATATATGTTCACGTGATTTGTTCTCGTCTTCAAGCAGGGAGCCCTTACCTCACCGGTCCATTTTGATAAAGGGTGGCGTTTATGTGCTCGTCTGAGGTGTGTGATTGGGAAAATGGTCCTACTTCTTCTTTGAATATGAAGGACTGTAACAACTACATTTGTACAACTCCGGAATGTTTTCTATCGTTCTGTGTCCACTTTAGTCCATCAGTACTGTTTTTTTTTTTTTTTTGCAGCAGTTTTTCAATGCATTGGTGTAAAACGTCAAGTCCATTTCACGTTGCAATGGTGCTATAAGGTCTTGAAAGAAACCCAGGATCTCTACATATTTGGAGGGATTTAGTAATAAAACGAAGGAAGGACGCATTTTATGCATCACCAAATAATGGAGAGTGTATCTGCAGAACACTGGTTTGACATATGCGGGTTTTTTTATGATTTATGAAATAAATGACATGTGAGCTTCTCTTGCAGCTGGTCGTGCATTGTATTCAAATAAAGCAAATTATCATCCTGCGTTTGTTATGTGTGTGTGTGTAGGGGTGTGTGTAGGGGTGTCTGTGTGTGTGTGTGTGTGTGTGTGTGTGTGTGTGTGTGTGTGTGTGTGTGTGTGTGTGTGTGTGTGTGTATATATATATATATATATATATATATATATATATATATATATATATATATATATATATATATATATATATATGTGAGTATGTCAGCCTTAACACCACACACAAAGAGTCACAAGAGCATGCTTGCCTTCTCCTGTGTTGTTTTCTGCGTTAATCACCAAATAAAGGGGATGTTCGATGCCAAGTAAAAAAACATCAAATGCATTGGAAAAACCAAACTGGATTAGCAGAGGAGGATTTCAAAGCCGCAGGCTGGCTGCTTGGTTTAGCGGCGGGTTGTCGTCGCTGCAGAACAAGGGAAGAAGAAAAAAAGGGGGTTGCAGGGCTGGTACAGCGTCGCCGGCATATGTTCAGAGGGGTAATAAAAGTGAAAGATTTACAGTTTTCGGCCGGCCCCCCAGACAGGCTCGCTCGCACCCTTTCAGGAATTACTGGGAGTGATTTACAAGGAGGCAGAACTGTCAGGCTGTCCAAACTTCCAGCACTTCTGAGGAACCGAAAGCAAATCATGCCACTCTAAGAATAAAAATAATACGGGGTAAAAGGTCGAAAATACAAAAGGCATACGAGTGATTATTCATCTTCTGCTATAGTAAACTTTACATCAGAATTACCTTAAAATTCAAATTAAAAGCTCTTGTATGAAAAATATCCAGTCCACGTTTTGCGCCTTTGCTTAAGTTATAATAAAACTCTGACGTGAAATGAGAAATAAATCAGCAAAATCTCCGTCTTCTCTACAGAAATGATTTTAGGCTTCTGCGATTACTCCCCTACATTTAGTCAAATGTCCATGCGGAAACAGCAAACCAGTCATCTCTGGAACTGGAAAGACATTTAGTATTATTTAAAACAGGGGATAAACGCGCTTATAGCGACCAGAGACCACAGTCTAAACAACTGCACCTATGCAGGAAGCGCACACATCAGAGAAAGGAGGTGCAATTCATCAAATATCACAGACATTTGATATCGTCATTTGCCAAACTGAGGCAACATGAAAAATGCTGAAATATTTACCTACCCGAGCATCCATCGGTTCAGAGCCGCCGCTAACAGTCGCGCCGAGTATCGGATATTATTTTCTTTGGAGGGGGGATCTCTTCAGTTTTCAACTCTGATAGAGTCCTTGCGATTAATGACGACGCCGTGTTTCTAGGGGGACGTGCTGCATTAATTATTTAGACAATCACGTGGTTGGAGAACAGAGAAGCGGAGTGGTATAGTCTCTGGATTATATCTCTGAATGCAGACGGCGCACTTTAATATATCTTAAGGGGGGGAGGATGGTTGGTTGGTTGGTTGGTTGGTTGGTCGGTTGGTCGGTTGCCTGTCTGGCTCAAAGAAGCTTCTGCGAAACCAACAGCTGGAAATCAAATATGGCCGGATGGAGAGCAGCGGCGCTGTTCCTGTGCACTGGGTGCAGTGTCATTGAAAATGGCACTGCCTTTGGCTCCCATTTATTGCTGTTCAGACATGTAGGTCAGTGTGGCTGCACGCTGTATAGTATAGTAGGCTGCTCTGACCTGATAACTGAGGGGCGTTTTATTTTCAATTCTTGTTGCGATTCCAGCAGCTGCAGATTGTATGGAGGGATTCCTCCATAAATTGAAACCCACTCCCATCACAGTTATGCTAATAGACTAATAAGGCATGCTAAGTCCCCGAGATGCATGCATCCCTTTACCTCTGCATGCTTATGACATGTTTGCATTGCACATTATAGTTTGTGAGCATGACCCAATCGAGACGATACAGAGCGATGGGGAAAAAGTGTGTGGCTGCGGATTGTCTTTCCACATGTCTGTTCATGGCCGCTTTGTTTGGATCAGAGCTGATTCTGTAGTGTGGGGGGTCGGAGGTCACCGCTGCAGCGAGTCATCACCAATAAAGCCACAGCTCAAATAAAGTATGCATTTCTGCTCTGTGTCTTTGTATGGTAATGGTGGAAAAGAAAAAGAGTCACAGCTGTATTGGAGAGATATGTGTGTGAGTTGTTTTTGTTTGTTTGTTTTGTTTGTTTGTTTTTGCTTTTTTATCTGGGTTTTAGTTAACTGGAGAGAATAAAGTGAAAATTCTTATTAATTTTAATTGTAAGTCTCAAGTAACGTTTCACTTTGGGAATAAATGCGGAAACAAGAGCGTTAAATGTGCACAACTAACGAAGAAGTTCTTTACGCACAGCATGCGCTCCAGTTCATAAGAGCAAACCGGGCTTTTCACTTGATCATACTGAATATTTGTTGTGGTTATTGGGGGCTTTACCTAGATATTATTATGTAGTTTAATCACTGTCTTGGATTGTTGAGTGTTCACATCTCTTGATTTTTTTTTTCATTTTAATTCCATCTGGGATATAAAAATATACAAATAAAAGTCTGAAAATGTTTAATATGATCTCCTTGAATATTTTTAGGTCTTTCTCAATCTTTCCCAGACCCTTTCCTTAAAATATTCGTTGCAAATCTATATACTCTTTGTCTAACCTAAGTTAAATAAAAGTCCTTATGTATGTTGCAGTTTGTCCTTTCTTAACCCGCGCCTGCGCTTGGTGTCGTGAAACACTCGAAGAGCTTATTCGCAAAAACAAATATCACACCTAAAAACAAAAAACACAAAAGAGTGAACCCCCTTTTGTGTCAAGACAGAGCTTTCCGCCATCGTGCAAGTGAAACATTCTCTGTTGGTAAAAGTCATAATTTCTCAGGGAAGGCCATATAAGCCCACGCAGCGCGCAATTGCTCCATTTGTGAGTTTTTTTCTAAAATGCTCCACGTGCTTTGCTTCAAACTTGCGAAAACGCAAAACACACACACACACACACACACACACACACACACACACACACACACCCACACACACACACAGCCTCAGATTTTTTTAAACAGTCACAAAGATCGTATATACCCCATAGATTAAGGAAGCGTAGTTTCCTCAAAGTCTGTCTTTTGTTTGTCTTTGCCGCTTGAAGCAAACAAGCATCCGGGAGAAAGAACCTTTTTTTTTTTTTGCCAAATACTCATATGAATAATCAGTAGAAATCTTTATTTTTATATACTTCTCACATTTCAAAGCACCGTACAAGGTAAAAAGCATTTACAAAAATAAAAATAAAAATTGATGAAAAAATTGCATATTGATTAATGCAACACGACAACATACAAATCAGAGCCTTCTCGACAGGGTGAGGGAGGGGTGGTAATATAAATACTGTTAAAATACGAGCAGGACTGTGGAACTGACTGGCCCTTTACTGTGAATCCCGTTTGGCTTTGTTTTAAACAGTCCAACTGGCTTATTTCCCCCTCATCCAAACAAAAATAGCGCCTGGGAGAGAAAAAGCTGCCTGTCCGGCGGGTCACGGGGTGCTGGGGTCAGTCCTTGCGGCTGAAATGTGTCCCCTGGATGAACCTGCCTCTGCTGCTTTTGTCGCTCTTCGGTTCTAATACCTTTTCAGCTCTCTGTTGAGGAAGACTTCAGAAAAGAGACCTTCATACTGGGAAAACTTCTGGG